ATCTACATACGCTGTTTTATTTTATTACTTTATTTTTCGTGATTCTAGATTTGATGATAATGTTTGGTGTATAAATTACTATTAATTAGTATATCATTCAGATTTCCTTTGACATTGTCAATACATGGTTGTCTCGTAATTTTATGTTACTAGCTTGATTTACAAGCATAAAATAGAAAGAATCAAAATATAAGTTTATCAAAAAGAAAATACTTGGTCGTATGCTTGACATAAGCATTTTAAGGAAGTGCTCAAACACGTATAATCACCTTTGAACATATAAATTGAAAATGGTGGCACAAACTTGTCAACTTTATAGCTTATCTATTTATTTGTTTATTTTCATTGGGTTCCTCCATTAGTAGCTTCTTGGTTTTTCATGTGCCACTGACTAATACTCAACCTCTCTTTGTTCTCCATTTCTTTGTGAGTACTTTCAATTAATCATTTCATTAGTCAACATAAATAGTAGTGATCAGTTAAGTGGGGTTATATAGGGGTTAGACTCTTGATATATTTATATATGGGTCACGATTTCTCTTGTTAAGATAAATATAACATCTGCTAAGATTTAATTTGAAGAAAATATAGTACATTAAGGTGCTAATTTTTCTTGTAATTTAATTGTGTTTTATAAAAAAATATACTAATAAGACTCAACTAGTATGTACCCCGTGCGATGCACGGGACAGAGATATTAAATGAGTTATTTTCACATGCTTTTTGTCTGTTTAAGTCTAAAAAACAATAGGTTATTATCTATTTTACAATTGTTTTAATCAACGTTAAGTTTAAAAAAATAGGGTTATAATCTATTTTCTACCTCTTTTAATCAGAATTATTTTTTTAGCCAGAATATTAAATATGAGCATGTTAGGTCTAGCTTGTAAATAATTAATATATTATCTCACTGACACATTCATACTAATATAAATTTGATTCTAGTTTATATATTTATTCTTTGATATAAGAAAAAATAACAGTTTTATTTATTCTTGTTCACCATATAATACTTAATTATTATTTTATTAAAAACTTTATTGTCATATAATGTCATTATTATTTATATAAGTTATAGAAGTTGTACATCTTCTTTTTCTTTTAATTTTATGTAATGAAAAAAATATTTAATGCACATTAGTATTATTTATTTAGGCAATCAATTTAAAAGATCTAAATAAATTTAAAATTAAATAGAGTACAAATATTTTATAAAACACATGTTTTTTTATAATTCAATTTTGTCGTATTATAAGGACTTGTGGTTTATTTACCATCTCTGCTATGAAAATAGATTTTACAAGAACTTCATTATCGAAAGAAATCAAAATAAAAAAATATTCATTGTTGTCAATAATATAAAAATAAAAATTAAAGAACAATTACTATATTTCAATTTTAAGTTTTGACTATAAGTAAAACTATTTAATATATGACCGCGCGTCGCAACGCGGCAAAGAATTTTTTCGTATTAATTGGAATTATAAAAGCAATTAAAAGGGGGGGGGATTGATTTATAAAATCTAATCTATTTAAGAATAAAATCTAAACCAAGAAAATAAATATAAAATTAAATAAACTAAAGGAAATATCTAGTTCACGGTTCCGTCTACACCCTCGACTGACTCGTCTAATCAACTTTGGTATCAAATCTCGTTATCTAATGGAATTACTAGCTCTAGGTAACGACATGGTCTGCTACCCGAATTTTTTCTTATTTTTAATTTAACCGCGACATGCTCTACGGTTAAACCTGACTTCTTGTACAGTCCAGAAAAACGTTTTCAAGATTTTATACAATTATCCGTTTTACGAATTAGAAAAATAGACTAGACTAAGTAGTAAATTCAACCGCGTTGGTTCACTTAAATAGGTTGTGTTATCCCCAGTAGTTACCATCTTCTGGTTGCTCTTATGAATTAAACCAACAACAATTACAGATTGCAAGTTCAATTCTAGCATTAGGCATGAAAAATCTAATCTAGGTCATCAATCTGAATAAGACTCAACAAATCTAAGTTATTCAATCAAAATAACACGCACAATTCCAAAAGATAACTCAATAATCAACCACGTAAATTATTAAAACATCGTCAAGTCGCAGGATTCGACATTCCCGGAACTAGAAATAAAATCTACTCTAACATAATAAATAAAAAAGAAAAAAGAAGAATAAAGTTATCCTCCGCGTGTGTGCGGGTGCGATCTCCTTCCGCTATTGATTAGGTTCCCAGTCTCTACACTTTTCTCCCCGCGTATGGCTGCGTGTGTTTCTTTTCCCTCTGCGGCTTTTTCAGTCTCGCAAAAAAATTCTTAGGGGGTATCCAGACTGAGTCCCTATTATGTTTTGGTGCCCAATTTTAGTCCTTAAAACAAAAAAATATAGTCTCTATAATAGGGAAAAGTCCACTTTTGGTCCTCCATGTTTAGGGGGTATCCAAACTGAGTCCCTATTATGTTTAGGTGCCCAATTTCAGTCCTTAAAACAAAAAAATGTAGTCCTTATAAGAGGGAAAATTCCACTTTTGGTTCTCCATATTTAGGGGGTATCCAGACTGGGTCCCTATTATGTTTTGGTGTCCAATTT